TACATGTGAAACAAGCTTGTTCCCTAACTAGAACTAATAAAAAAAAAAATGGGAGTCTGGCAAAATCGAAAATAGGTCATACCACAGCAGGGCCTGGCTGCAAGAAACTTCTGCAAACATGGGTTAAACCACAGCAGGGTCTGGCTGCAGAGAGCTTCCACAGACATGCTGGACTGGGGGATTTGAACATCCAACTAAGCTCCTAGACGATTCCCTGTTGTCTCACTTGCAGCTGCTAGAACAGAGAACTGGTTCTTTCTTAGGTTAACCCTTAAGACAGACCCGCTCCTCTCCTCTCCGCAAGCACCGTGGTGTTGGCAGCACTCAAGCCCGGACAGAAGGCATTTCTTAGGGAATTGTTTTTGCTTGTTTTTTGAGCAGTGGCTGATGAGGTGTGATAGCACCTTGCACCAGTAGGGTGACAGGCCACTGCAAGACAAGACATGTGTGGATGAATCAACTGGCCAGGGACATGCTGAGTAGCCTGGTCTAAAGCACAGTTTTTAGAAGATGAAAGGCAGTAGACTGGTGTTTGGAAACCCTGAAGAGAGCACTTTCTCAGCTTAGAAAAACATAGTACGTTTATTTGTATATTAAGTCTTTTCTATTTGACACATGAGGCTACACAAGAAAGCACATCTGAACTCAGATCAAAGGCTTCAGTCCCCATGGCTCGCCTCCCTGAATATACAAGTGTCCATTTTACACACTGCTCCCGTGGAGTCTGTGCCTCATGGTGGCCTCCTCTGCATGGACTTTGGGTGGTATGGTGCCTGTCTTTGCCAACAAAAACTCAGCTAGGCGATGTTTCTCTTCCCAGCCCCCCCTCTCTTCAAAGGCTGACCATTTCCCAGACCCACGCCTTTATATGCAGGACACTGAGAGGTGGCCTGCTCGAGCCCTGTCTCCCAACAGTCTTTCTCACTTTCGTGTCTGTAAAAGATGAAAGACTGATGGAATCAGAAGAACCAGACCGCAGGCAGGGAAGAATGGATGAGAGAAAAGAAAAGGAGAGCAGAGTGGGAGTGGCAAGACAGTCATGTCATCACAACTAGAGAAACTTCTTTTCTCATTCTGGAAGAAGGCTGGTGCGAAAGACCAGAAGCTTGACATGGAGAGGAAACTTAAAGCCAAGAGGGCTAGTGCTAGGGACAGGGCCAAAGAGGACAATATCCAGTTTACAAAACCCAAGAAAGAGAAGCTCCGCTGCAGCTGAGGCCCTTCTGAGGCAGGTGTCTCCATCTGGTAGTGTGCTGAAGGCCACATGAAGAGGAAGCACTTGCCTGCTCAGTTTGGGCCTGGAAGAAAATGTTCCCGCTATGGTCACATACCGGCTGGTGACAAGAACGGTGGCACCTTCATGGCTAAGTTTCAAGAATTGCCATCACTTGAAGGCAATGCCTGAAGCTAGGAGCATGGCCAACCCTGCGGTCAGCACATGGGATCACCATGAGCCTGGTTCTCCAGGGAGACTCACACATTCCCCGAGCCAGAGCTTGGAGTGGGTTTCTAGAAGCAGCCAAGCAGTGGTTTGTGGTGTGTGACTCAACTCCTTCCCTCAGCTGAGTTCCTTTGCATAGAACACACCAGAAGCCTATCACTGGCACTCCACAAACACCAGCATCTGTGATGTGACCATCCCCAGACACCACACCGAGGCAGCAACAGCAGCTATGGAAGTCAGGAAGGTGAAACCTGAGACCTGGAAAAAGTGTGAACTTACTGCACAGTGCAGGGCCAGGAGAAGGCTGTAGACTTGCAAATTTTACCACACCTAAAGCTGGTCCTTAGCCCCACAGTGCCTCATGGCCAGGCTTTGCTCTAACTCATGAAAAGTGCTCATGAACTTGCGCTCTGATTTCTTACCAAGAACCCAATTAAATAGGCACGTTTTACCTGTCTTTTCTAAGTTATCTGCTTGAAGGTGGGACTTTTGCCTCTTCTGTAAAGCAGGGGCTGGGGCATTGATGCATTGTGTGCCTCTAATGATAGAGACTGTGAGATTGTAAACAGTGAGGCTCAACAAACCAGATTCCCTAACTTTTGGCTTCTATGGTGTTGGCCCTGACCCTGTATTTCTAGCTCTCAAGTTCATTTAACTATGCATCAGAAGTAGATCTAAAGGTTCTGACAAGGCAGCTTGTTCCCTTTAGGGCCCATCACAGTGACTAACAGAACATTCTCACTTTTCAGCAGAAGACACTGGGCCACAGAAACAGTGAAAGTGAACAAGTGGGACCTTGGGACCTTATGGGGCCGTGCTCTACCACAGGGCCTCTGTTACAGTTCCCAAGATGGCTATGTCATATGCTGAATGCACATGAAGGGCTGGGGACAACTACATACAGAATACCAGGCTGGAGATCACACATCTCAGAGCAGCAGGCCTGCAGCTGGTGCTCCTGACAGAGTCTACAGAGTGGGTAGATCCTATGTGGAGCCCCACGAAAGGCAAGGTTGGCTGGACAGCAGAATGCTACACCACTGTCTGGTATCCAGGAGCCCTTGGAAGAGGCTCTTCCAAGGATGGAGCAGGCGCCACTATTGCTCCCTGTCATTTCCAAACTGACTTCCCTCAGGCCAGTTCTGGAAACAAGTCCTACTGTGGATAGGGGCTTGTCTTAGATGCTCTCAAGATGCTGTCTGTGGGGAATGTGACTACAGAGGGTGTGTGCCCCAGCAGAATGATCATGAAGCAGGACTTGTGCTCTCCCTGAGTAGCAGTTTTTACTGGCTGGCCATGTTCGGACACCAGCTAAGCAGTTCCAGAGTTCTAGTCCAGCTCCAGTACCAATGCAGTGAGGAGGGACTGTGCTCCAGGTTATAGCTTCTCCCTGAGAGCCATGAGTTGGAAAGTTGGAGACCGTGTCTACCACTGGCAAATGGCTGAGTATGGAAAGGGCATGCTGGCTTCTAGACAGGAAGTAAAAGAGTCAAGTGTTCTGGGGGAACAGGCAGGTGCCACATGAGATGAAACTGTGTGTGTGTGTGTGTGTGTGTGTGTGTGTGTGTGTGTGTGACTGGGACTTTTTGAACTCTTGGGGAAATGGTTCACTGTAGACTTAACCTGGACTGTCTCAGCAACTGCGGTGGAGAACACACACTCCCTGCCTGCTCTAGGACATGCAGTGAAGGAGAGAAGTGAGCTGCAGCCCACAGACTGGCACGCATGAGTTTCAGACAGCAATGTATTTCTCTCTCTTTTTGAATATAAACCATCACACATGGACTTTATTTGCAAAAATCCCAAACTCTCTAAAAAATAAAAGTGTTCTAAAGAATGCCCCATTCTTAAGATTCCAACGTTGGTTTCTGAAATGAATACCTTTCAAAAGAGCAAAATTGTCATAGCTTCTTCACCAAGCAACATGCTAAACTTTCTATTTTATACAAGTAAACAATTAAAAGAATTTCATTTTATGAGCTGAATATAACTTGTTTTCCCTTTCTTTCTTTCTTTCTTTCTTTCTTTCTTTCTTTCTTTCTTTCTTTCTTTCTTCCTTCCTTCCTTCCTTTCTTTTTTTCTTTTAAAACTTCTGTTTCAAGATGTCCTCAATAAGAGGACATGGAAGGAAATGGAAGTCTGACCCTGTAAAACTCTGGTGACTCCAGGTCTTCAAAACGATTTTTAAAGAGATATTCTCTTGCAGACAACCCCTTATATCATGGTTAAACCATCCTTAAGGCTGAGCCAAACCTTTTCTTGGTGAGGAGGAAGCTGCCTCCTGAATTCAGGACTGGGGGCTGTGCTCAAGGACAGCGTCTGTTTACGGGATATTGTCAAAGGGCAAGAACAGGAAGAACACCCTCCTCACGTGCTGGTCTCCTCCAGGCATGCAGGTGTTTGCTTCTCAGACTGGTGTCCAGCCGGGCCTGCTGCAGTCTCGGCATGAAGACCCCCTTTCACTGGTTAGGGATTGTGGATGAGGACCAGAATGGATGTCAAAGTCAATTTCAGATTACTGCTCTGTATCATGGTTGTAGACAGAAAATTCCAGAGAAGCTGGCTCACTGATGCCGTGTCTAACAACGGATGCTAGTGAGGTACCAGCTCTGACACCAAGTCACCCACAACTGTACCACAAAAAAGCTGCCTGTGGCAGCTTGGCAGCCCCAGGTAGCATTCTTGTATGTGAGCAGCTTTGGAGGATTACACTGCCTCTTTTCTCCTAAGGAAACTCACCTGACCACTTGAGTCTCCACTGACCTGGGAGTCTTGGCTGCATCAGACAGAGATGTCTGGAATCTCCCATATTCCTGCTCCAGGCCCTGGAGCACCTGCATGTTTGAACAGGCCGTTTCTAAGCGACGGGGAGCTTCAGGCCAGGACACAGGCTCTGGAGTTTCTGCCTTGGGAGCTTCACCAGAGGTAAAGCAGGACCATCTGCTCCGTGACCTCTGCTCTCAGCAGAGCTCCATGTGCACAGGTCATGTGCTTCTTTCGGGATGCTTTCCAATGCTCCCTTGCTGTGGACAACTGTATCCCTGGTTTTCCCAACCCCAGAGCAAACAAATGCAAGCAACCCGTTTCTCATCATCCATCAGGAGCAACAGGCAGGCCAGACAGGTACACCGTGATCTCTACACTCATCCTGAGGACCTTCCCCCGAACAGTGGATGACATCAGTTCTGCCCTTTGTTTATTCTGCTAAGTCTCCCAGAGAGCAGCAGCCTGAACATGTGTCTGCATGTCCCCTAGACTGGGAATACCAACAATCCACACTGAAGAACATGTAAGGAAGGGGCTTTTGTGTCCCCTGGTAAGAGCTCTGAGCCCAGCTATTTGTTCAAGACGCTCTTGCAGCTGAGGTGGAGCTACAGCTGCAGCATGGCCTGTCATGATGAGTATCTGCGAGCAGCCTGGTGGGTGCACAACTGGAAACTGATGGGAGTGTTTGCCACATGCTGGCAGACCACACAGAACTGTGTCACTGTCACTTACCACGAGGCATCAAGGAGCAGGTGTGGGGGCATCTTGGGGAGGATGGTGAGGAAATGTGTCTTCCCTGATCTGCCTCAGGCTCCTGACCATGCTCCTGGCCCAGTAGGCATTCAGAACAGCCCTTGCTTGGAAAGGCACGTTCTTCCCATAGCTGACTGTCCTAGTGATAGCTGTTTGAGATGACAGAATTAATTTTAAATAAAAAACTTTTGGGACAGGCTTTCAACTATGTAGCTCTAACTGGCCTTGAACTCACAGAGATTTGTCCATCTCTGCCTCCGAGTGCTAAGATTAAAGGTGTGTGTCACCAAGCATACTTAGCACTGTCTTTTCTAAGTGATGCACACACAGGGTCATATTATGTCACCTGGTTTCTCATAATTTGAGATAAAAAGCACTGATCTATGTAGTGTTTCTCTGTGTGTGGCTCACATAGTATGCTTAGATTGGGAATATTTGTTCAGTAAACATTCCACTTTGAAATACTTTAAATGGCTAAATAGGATTCCAATGTATGGGATTTCCTGGATTTCTTTAACTCACCATGTTGTCAGACAGCTAGTTAAATTTCAGTTTCATCTGACAGTGATGCTGAAGCAGACAGCTTGAACTGTGTATGTCACCGAGTGTGTCCTGAAGGCAAGTCCCTGTCACAAGCCCCTCTGTGAATAGTATAAAATAAAATATCTTAGCTACTCGAAGTTATGCTGGGCCCTATATGTCCTGATTGAGCCACAGAAACAAATTCCAGAAAACATCACCAATGCTAGCATCAGTCTGTAATTATGAATCAATTTGCTGGGTGCTTGTGGCACAGCAGGTGGCCTCCACACAGCAGTGGCAGTTAGCTGTCCCTGCTCATGAGCAAGAAGCTGCTAGCTGAAAAGGACATGATTTTGAAAAGTGAAAAGAAAGGAAGGCAGAAGGGAGGGAACAGAAAGACAGAGTGTGCTTTTTGTTCTCTTAAGGACATCAGAGTGATGCGCTGCTTGTAAGACCTGAGTTGCTTGGCCAGCGTGCCTACACAAGTGTGTCCCCTAGCCTCAACTTGTCTCGGGGCAGCCCGAGACCAGTCAGCTTCTCTCCCCACATAACTAACTCAAACGTAGACGGACAGGAAACATCTAGAGGAGCCACACCATTGCACACAAAACAAGTTGGCACAAGATCCCATTTCTAACAACAAAAGAGACATCAACATTTTTAAAGCCTGTCAGAGAAATTGAAAAGTAAAATGTGCTATGTGTTAAGAAGGAACCCCCCCCCCCCAATTCTTGGGCAGTTCTGTCTCCTCACAGCTTTGTCTTGAAGGTTTAAGACTTATTTCCTTCCTCTACTTTCTCCTCAGCCTTAACCTCTGCGGCACTCCAAGTGATATGTATGGCTAGCTTGACAAACACCAGTCATGGGGCAGGCCTGGTGAATGCCAGCACACAGACCCTGCAATTTTAGAGCTGTGTGCAGTGTCATGCTCAGATCAAGGGTGGTTTCCACCTGCACTCTCCCAACAAAGAGGAAACATTGGCACAGGCTTACTGTTGTGGGTCAGGATTTCTAGTATCTCTGCTATGACAGACAACCATCTCCAGTTCTTCTGGACTCTGCAGTTAAGCCCAGGGCTTCTGGGAATACATGAAAGCTACATGTCTAACAACGTGTCCTACAAACCTTCCAGAACTGTGGCTGCTTTTTCAGGGCTGTTTCTAGTTAGACAGCAAGAGGCAGCCTGCTGTGTAGTGTTGTCTGCCTGCAATCGTAGCCACTGAGAGGCTGAAACAGAAGATCAAATTTAAGGCCAGCAGGAGCTACATAGAGCAGCCCTGTCTTTAAAATGAAAACAAATCAACGCAGACAAAAAAGTGACCCAAAGCCAGGGAGGGAATGGTGGCTCCTGAGCACTTCCTGGTGGAATGCTGGTGGCTTGAGGAGCCGGAAGTGCTGGCCCAGCTGACACAGCACCTTGGTTGCCTGCTCATCCCAAGAACTGCTCATGTGAGGAGCCTTGGAGTGGGACTGCCCCTCCACAAGTCTGTCCTGCTCATTAGGCACTTGGGCTTCTGGGCTTCCCGGAAGCTGGTTGGTGCCCAGCGCTCTTCCATGGGCTAGCATGTTGTTTCAATCCTCCCATCTCCTTGGAAAGGAGGCTCATCTGTGCTGTACAATGTTCGATGCTAGGTTCCAGAAGACAGGTTATGGCAAGGAAGGTCTAGCCTGCTTGTGTTATGTGTCAGAGCAATTTGTGCTGACATGGGCCCTTGGAGGGTTCCTCAGGGTCTCTGATGACCCCACAGCAGCGGACAGCTCTATACCACTGATCCAACACAGCCAGGTGTAGAACCTCCTAGTCAATGGGGGAAGTGACTGGTGCATTCCAATGAGGGAGGCTGGATGGCAAGTGCCCTGAGGCTGTGTGCATAGGTGTATAAGGATCAGGTGCCTTATGGATCCCTTGTAGTTGCTCTTCTGTGAGATACCTATTTGTTAAAACCACTTTTAGAGTATACAATTTAGTGATTTTGCAGAACCATTGTCACTGCCTAGTTACAGGATGTTTTTTTTTGTTTTTTAATAATTTATTTAACCTTTATTTTATGTGCATTGGGGTGAAGATATCAAATCCCCTGGAACTAGAGTTACAGACAGTTGTGACCTGCCACGTGGATGCTGGGAATTGAACCCAGATCTTCTGGAAGAACAGTCAGTGTTCTTAACTGCTGAGCCACCTCACCAGCCCTACGGGATGTTTTTATTACCCCACAAGAAGCCTGTATTACTAATGCTGCCATCTTGTTGCCCCTGACAATCTCTCAGTGGTTCCTTTAGGGATCTGCCTGCTGAGGATACTTCCCAACGAACAGAATCACGCAACACAGTTCTCTGTTCCATGAAATGTTTTCACTTCCCAGTTTTTTCTTAAGTTTCATCCATGTTGAACAAGTTAATTTCCTTTCATGTTTGAGTTCTGTCCCCTTCTGCAGATGCCTGGCGTTCACGTATTCACTCAGCCAACCACATTCACTTGGTTATTTCTACTGTTGCCTACTGTGAACAGTTCTGCTGCAAACACACATGCCTACAAGCTTTACAGTCATTGGTAATCTTGGTGTGTGTGTGCGCGTGCGTGCGTGTGTGTGTGTGTGTGTGTGTGTGTGTGTGTGTGTGTGTGTGTGGTGACGGGGACCACACTCAGGGTCTTCTTGGCACATTAAATCTGTACTTTGCCACTGAGTTGTAGGTTAATGTTTTAAGGAACTGGTAGAGGTCCCCCACAGTGGTTGTAACATTTACATTCAACAAATGGAAGGAGGGTATGTAGTTGCTTCTCTATCTTCTTGATAGTATTGTTTTTTGTCTGCTTGCTGATATAGTGGGTGGGGAGTGGTTCTGATTTACATTTCCGTTATGACCAGTGATGCTGAACATCTGTCAGGAGCCTGGTGTCAGTTGATATGTTCTTGGATAGATACCTATTCAAATCTTTTGTTCACTTTCCATTGTTCTTTCTTCTTATCACTGATCTGACTTTTCTTTATGTATCTTACATACAAGTCCCTTAGAAGGTGGAGGATTTGCAAATGTTTTCTTCCGTTTTCTAAGATGTCTTTTCATTTTCTCAATGACTCCTGTGGTATAAATTATGGTTTGCTCTTGGTGTGTGTGTCGTATTAAAGAAATAATCTCCAGTGAACTACCATTTACCTTTCTGCTCCCTGTCTCTGGATTAAACATGACTGACCACCTCATAGTTAAAGCAACTGCTGCCACCATGCCTTTCCCAACACAAGAAACCACACCTTCAAACCATGAGTCACAATTAAATCCTCTCTTACAAATACAAGGAGTCACCTCCAGACCCAAAGTTATGTCCTCATACATCGCTAAGTACCAAATACAGTAATTGCTGCCCTGGTTTATGAAAACAGAAGTGCAAGCATCACTCTTTGCTTCTCCCTTTGCCTTAGAGAGCTGGTTCCACTCTGCCAAGTCCTAACAGAAGTGGCATGCTGTAAAATTGAATGGATCAATTTTAACGAACAAACGCTACCACGAGGGGCCACACGCGCGTCCAACTTCACATGGACATACTGCACATCAGGAACAGTTCTGTTTTGGGCTGCTGAAGAGTGTAAGGATTCAGGCATTATGCTAGCTTGCCCGTCACCTGGCAGAATGCACTCAGGCATACCCCGGTCAGCCCAGGTTTCCATGGTTGCGTAGTCTGCATGCAGGGGCAAAGGGCCCCTTTAAAAGAAAGACCCCTGCCCTATTTCTGCTCTCTTCTCTTTCCTGCTCTTCTCCTGGGGCAGACAGGACTTTTCCTGTCTCCCTCTTCTCCTCTGCC